GTTCTACTCAAAAACGATGATTGTTATTTCAACCAATACTTTTAAATGATATAATTTAGCTTCCTTTGGATTTGTTCTCAAATTCATTTTTTCTTGAGTATATATATTATATGATCACTTGCCTGTTATGTAGCACATAGAGTAGATGACCAACTGAAAAAATGTATTTCAACAATGATGTCAAAACGTTGCTCAAGATTACAGTTCAAAAAAGTTTCAAAGTGTTATGTATTTCAATATTGCGTAGTTTTATAGTTTCGGATTCTTATATTGAGTTGATTGTAAGTACTATAATGTCTAACTGTCTAAGAGACTTGTTTCCTCTGTTTTCAATTGTTTTGGTATCCTTTGGTTTCAGGCGAAATATAGTGATCTCCTCTGTCAAGCATCTGCAGAGGAGGAATTAGCTGTGGATTAGCTATGAAGCTAGAAAAGTCAGAGAAGCTCAAATTTTACTTTCTGTAACAAATACCTGAAGGAGAAATGGAATAATGGTAATCACCTTCTCTCCCTGTTAGAACTTATGCAAATTCTCAGATTTTCTCCCGTCAACTTTCGTTCCCATTGAAGCATCCGGTCATCAAGGAAGAATTCGAACAAGAGTACCTATTCATACTCGTCGCTTCATCTACTTCGATTTCGTTTTCATTACCAGTTACCATGATCAGCAGTCAAAAACCATAAACAAACAAGGTAATGGATCTTTCAACTAATTTTTCATTTATTTTTCTTATTTCTCATTAGATACATACGCACACATAGGTACGCACACGATCATGGGCTTATTACAACTTGTTATTACCATGCGCGTGGATTATTTAATTTTTTTTAACTTTATTTATTTAGAACCAGATGGCTCGGATTTGGCATTGCTGTGGCTCCAAGTTGCATCTGCGAGGAAGGTCTTGAGCCCTCTGCTCCACCTGTCGCCTCTCCTCAGCCTGCCTGCCACCCTCCTGCTGCCGCTGCCTCTGCCTCACCGCCTCATTTACAGCTTCACAACGGCACTCCTCGTCTATGTTCTGCAACTGTTGACAGCACTGGCGGAGGTGCTGCTCTTGCTCCTCCTGCTCTCGTGGGTTCAGAACCAGCTCATAGGGGCTTCTCTGCGACAAGTACCTTTGGCAATGGGGGAGTTGCTGCTCCCTTTGGATTTGCTCGCGGCATTCCTGCGATTCCCTCGGGTTCCCTTCCTCCACCACGGTGGTGGTGATGGTGGTTCGAGAGGCCGTGGCAAGGAACAAAAGAGCAAGTAAGAAAGCACCGAGAAATGCGAGCTTTGCCATGGTGATTCTCACAAAAGGGTCGGAGGGAAATATGGTTGCTTGACGAGGGGAAGGTGGTGGGTAGTGTAGGCCTTTTATAATGGGATTTTAGGGCTTCAGGATTTGCATGGCAAGTACGTGGAGGTGCTATGTTGAGGCAGATGGTTAGCGTGAGAGAGACATTGAAGTGACTAGCTGGTTTCAGACTTCCACCTGGACTGACATGCAAATGCTTCACATATAAATTCATTCTGACCGCTTCACATCAGCTATTACACTGCATTGTATGTATTTAAGGCCGATGGTTGATCTAATCTACTTGAGTTAGACTCGATTTCGACTTTGTTCGGCTCGTATTGAATAATTTTTTAGATGAATATTAAAAATTCAATTCGAGTTCACATAATTCAATTTAATTATATGTAAAATAATTCAGATATTTAGTTTAGCTCGTTTTTTGTTCGATTTAACTTGTTTTGGGTTCGATCTATTTTATAAACAAGTCGAGTTTGAACAATATCTTAAATTTTTTTTAACAAAACGAGTTCAACATATTTGACTTGATGATCAACCCTAAATCTATAAAATATTGTATATGTTTAATTAATTTTTTTCATTCATACACTTGTTAATTTTTTTTAAAAAAAAATAACTTATGGGGTTGACAAACAAGTGGTGTTGTAATTTTTTGTTGGCGTATAGGCACCACATCGACACTACTAGAGGGCATACCTTATAAGGACAACGACCCATTTCGTTTAGATTTGGCAGTTTATGTTATGATTTATTTTGCAACATTTTAACCACAATAACTCATTTTAATTTTTTTAACCATAGTAACTTATTGATCAAAGTAACTCATTTAAATTTTATCAACAGTGTTATTGTGATTGTAACTATTGAACTTTTTTATTGGTTTTTATAATTTTATATATTATTATGTCAATAAATTAGATCAATTTTTTCAATTTTAATAACATTACTCAAAATAACAGTATGTTTGATAAAACCTAACTTTTTTTTTTTAACTTGAAACTATTTCATTGATAACTATGAAACATGATGATTACAACGTGAATTAAGTACATATTCAATTTAACATTTTTCAGCTGTAGAATAGTGGACAGGATCTCCAATTAACGTCAGAATTTATTGTTTACTACGAGTGTCTCTTCATTGTTGGATGCTTCAAGAGGGAGAAAATGGTAATTGGCCAATATAACTACTATTGAATCTATCTTCTGGGAATGCGTGCTTTTGTTAGTGATTAGCTGCATACCATTAGAGGCCATAATTACCTATCTTTTTGGCAATTATGTGCTTTTGTTAGTGATTTGTTAGTTACTCCTACTCAAGATAGCCGTGAACATACTGTTAGAGGTGTATATTGGTGTAGGAAAATTCATTGGAAACAGTAAGAGTGAGTTAGGTGCTTATGAGATGAGTCATAGTTGAGCCGTGGTTATATTACCTTTTATATGTTGAATCTTGTAGATATCTTGTTGGGTGAGTAAGAGTGGTCGTAGCCTGTCAAGAATTGAGAGAATAGTCATGTGCATTGTCTATTTTGCCATGTGAGAAATGGTCTGCTTGTAATTGGTCATATCCTTGAAAAATCAACATGAAACAGATCATTGGCACAAGTCGTGGACTGTAAACGACATTCTATGGAAAGTATTACCATTACTTTTATAACGGGTATCAAATCTGTCTTTACAGAGCACTCATCTGTTTTTAGTCATTTTGAAATTGAATAACTATGATTTCACAGACATAACTGATATTTGTCCAGTACACCACTCAGAAGGATATATGAATCGACTTTTTAATGCATCAAATGGTGTGTGATTTGAGTTTTCTTGAGAGAATTATGTGGATGATGCTATTTCGAGTTTGCTAGTAAGAGTTAAGCTTATTTTTGTAGCAGGTGTCTAATCTATAAGGCTCAGTCCTTACTGATCAAATGAATGAAGTTGGATGTTATTCCAACCAGTACTTTCAGATGATATAACTTAGCTTCCTTTAAATTTATTCTCAAAATCGTTTTGTCTTGTGTACATATATTACATGATCACTTACCGGTTATGCAGCTAAGCAGATGACTGACTGAAAAACCACAGTTCGGATAAGTTACAATGAGTTTTGCAAAATTGATTTTTGTCATCTAGGTCACCTTTTATGCAATTTTTTTTTGTCTCTTAATATTGTGTAGTTTTATAATTTCAGTTTCTTATATTGAGTTGAGTTGTAAATACAATAATGTCTAAGACACTGGTTTGATTTGTTCTTAATTGTTTTGGTATGCTTTGATTTCAGTAACAATCACTACAATAAATTTGTTTTTTTAGCGATGAGCTTTGACGATGAACAATATAATTTGTTATAAAAAAGTGATTTTCGGCGACAATTTCAAATGTTTGTAGTGATAAATTTTTTATGATATTTTTAGCGATCATTTTTTATAGTTATCGTCAATAGTCTTAGCAAAAACGTTCCCTCCAAAAAAAATATTAATTTTATAGACGACAAAAACAATTGCCGCCAAAATAATTTTTCGGTCAAATAATTAAAAATAAGAAAATAAAAATAATAATACTTAGCGACAATACATGTTTATCGCAGAAAAAAAATTAAATTTTTTTTTTGTTTGACGACAATTTATATTTGGTGAGGAATTAGCTCAGAAGTTAGAAATTTAGAGAAATTCAAACTGTACTTTTTGTCACCAATACTTGACCAAGAAAAAATATATGATTTTATCGTCCTTGCCCCTCTTGTAACTTATTTGCTTCCATGCATTTATTGATGCCAAGCATCATCGGTAGGCCGAGCACCTACTGCATATTATCGAGATGTGTCGAACATTCGTTGTATTGACACTGAACATTCATTACTAACGTTCCCAAGAAATCCACATCAACTAGGACCATGTCTTTATTTCATTCTCTGTCATTCATTTCATCACGTAGAGCCCGCACCCTTGTTTAGCATTGATTGCTCGGGCTTGGGGGTGTATCTTTCCCTTGGATTTGCTAGGACATGTTCTATATGGATTCCTTCTTCGGGGTCAATCACCCACCTCAATGTTTCACTGTTCAAAATTACGTTTTATGTTTTGATACGGGTGTTGTTTTGTATCTCATCAACGCCAAATCACACCCGATGTATCCACGTACATGAGAACAACATATGCTCCACAGTATCTACTTAGTCCTCGCATATGGAGCATAATGGTGATTGAGCACAATCCATCTTGTATGGAAGATGAACAGTGCTATTTGAATTTAAAGTTTTTTTATAATTTGTTAACATAATAATATAGTTTCATTGTAACTATTAAATTAATACTAAATTTTAATATTTAGTAGGGTCTACGATAAATTTAAAAATTATAATAAATCACCTTAATAAATTAATTCAACTTCAAAATAGCATTCCTCACTAATATATATATATATATATATATATGGGTAAACCACGCTTCTAAAACAGTTGACAACAACCATAAATCATTTGTGGAAGCATTTGCATGTCAATCCAGGTGGAAGTCTGAAATCAGTTAGTCACCTCAATGTCTGTCCAAGCTACCCATCTGCCTCAACATAGCACCTCCACGTACTTGCCATGCAAATCCTGAAGCCCTAGAATCCCACTATAAAAAGCCTACACTATCCACCACCTTTCCCTCATCAAGCTACCATTTGTTTCCCTCCTACCCTTTTTGTGACAATCACCATGTCAAAGCTTGCAGTCCTCGGTGTTCTCTTACTTGCTCTTTTTGCCCTCGCCATGGCCTCTCGAACCACCATCATAACCACAGTTGTGGAGGAAGAGAACCCGAGGGAATCGCAGAAATGCCGCGAGCAAATTCAGAGGCAGCAACAGCTCCCCCACTGCCAAGCGTACTTGTCACAGAGAAGCCCCTACGAGCTGGCCCTGAACCCACAAGAGCAGGAGGAGCAAGAGCAGTACCTCCGCCAGTGCTGCCAACAGTTGGAGAACATAGATGAGGAGTGCCGGTGTAGGGCTGTAAGGGAGGCGGTGAGGCAGAGTCAGCAGGGGGGTGGCAGGCAGGCTGAGGAGACGCGAGAGATGGCGCAGAGGGCTCGGGATCTGCCCCGCAGATGCAACTTGGAACCACAACAATGCTAAATCAGAGCCTTCTGGTTCTAAATAAATCGAAAAAAAATATTATGAAATAATGAAAAACCATAATGTGCATGGTACTAAGCATATTATCGTGTGCGTTTGTATCTTATGAGGATAGTGAAAAATAAATGATCCACTCCTTGTTCGTAGATGGCTCTTTTAAGTGTCAATCATAATAATATATTTCTTAAATTATACTTAATAATTATAACTATTGATTTGATTAAAATTTATGGTAATTTGAACCCCAGTTTTAGTAATTTGGTTCAGGATCGGTTTTAACCGGTGAACACAAAATTTCAATCCGGATATGACTTGAATTCAATTCACGTTAGAGATTTTTGGGTTAAGTTTAACCTATGTTTTACCCAAACACTAATTTTTTTGTTCTGGATTTGAGTTGGGTTCGGTTAACTCGCCCGAGTTATACCCATCAAAAGGAGAGGAATAGATAAAATCAGAATGCTTGGTGATTCAAAGAGCATGCCCAAGCACTTGAAAAGAGAGCAAACAAGTCTCCGAAGTAGAATTACCATGTTGGTAGAGAAATATCATTTCTTTTTCCCGGGGCGACCTATTACAAGGTCAGATAATTAAAGTCTGGACTTTAGCATCATTTTTAAGTACCACTAGTCCAAAATAAAATTTTAATTTTATAAAAATTTAAGTCTTTAACAAAAAAAATTAAGTTAGATTTAAATTTGATAGTTTTGGCCTATTTCTCCCGCCATGAAACAAAAAATCATTAAAAATTTTTTTAAAAAAAGAGTAAAAGTGAATGTAAAGTTGGCAACTCAAATAAGTATTTTAATATCGAGCATAATTTATAGATAAAATTAATGGACATAATGAGTTGTCACTAATGATATGATAATAAATTTATTAATGCTATAATAAGATCAATTATTAAATATATTTTATTATCATTTTATTGGTAACAATTCATTATATCCCCAAATTATATTTTTTAATTATGTCTCAATAGTATTTAATATTTTATATCACACTTTTCAACATATTCTCTCAATCACTCGCTCCTTATCCTTTTCTCACTCTATCTCTAGCTAACAAAGGGCTTTACCTTTGTTTTTTCTTTTGATCTTGATTCTATGTCTTTGTTTGGCAATATTCTCTATTGGCATTATTTTTTTAAGCTTGGGTTGTTTTGGCTTGGAGCATAACTATTATGGTGATAATCGGATTTTTCGGAAAATTGAAAATAACAATAAATCAAGTGTTATTATTCTATGCTTTAAATTTTTTGTTTAAAGCTTTTATTATATTTCTTTAATATAGATTGTGTGTGGTTATTTCATTATTTGTGATTGTTTGATTAATATTTGATAGTATGATAAGTAGAAACCAATCGGGTGGATATGAAAAGTTTAAAAGAAAAATAGATGAATTAATAGAATCTTAAAAAGGATCTCTTGATAAATTTGTTATTAGTAATAAAAATTATAGGTGAAAATTTAGTAAATGAACAAATAATTACTCCTAATGAATATTACAACAAAAGGATAATAATGAAAATATGCATAATTATTCTAGTCAAACATGTAATATGACAATTGATGATGAAGAACAAACAAAAAAATTTAGATCATTAAAATTTGAACTAAACAAGCAATTATAATGCTATGAATAGTTGAATTGATTGGAGAAATATTTGTATTAAACTGAAAAGTCAAGAAATATTTAATGAACATATTACTAATATGAATAGTTGAATTGATTTAGAAACAAGATTGTTAAAAAATGAAACAATTGATAAAACCATCCAATGACAAATTAACAGAGATAAAGAATATCAGAAAAATTTATTAGTGAGAATTGTTGTAAATAATTTGGTATTTCAAGGAAAAATGAAAAGATATATCAAGAAAATAATGAAATTTTTTTAAGTATAATTAAAATGATAGCATAATTTAATCCAGTAATACAAGCACACATTCAGCGCATTCAACGTGATGAAATTCATAATTATTATCTTAGATATAAGATACAAAATGTTGATAAGTCTACTAGGAAATGAAATTAGAAGTAATATTATAAAAAAAATTAAAGAAGTAAAATATTGTGCAATTATATTTGATTGTACTCCGAATGCAAGTCATCAAAGACAAATATCTCTCATATTGCGCTATGTAGATATCTCAACAAGTCCAATAAAAATAAAAATATATATTTTCTAGAGTTTCTTAAATTAGATAATACAAGTAAAAAAAGTTTTTTTGACAAAATCATAGATACAGTAAGAAACTTCAAACTTGACATTAAACGATGTATACGAGAATAAGGATGTGATAATGGATCTAAAATGGAAGGAAAACATCAAGGGGTACAAAAAACACTTCTAGATATAAATCTCATAACATTTTATACATCATGTGGTTGTCATAATCTAAACCTAGTACTTTGAGATATAGTTAACTCTTGTCCCAAGGCTATGTCATTTTTTGGAGTAGTACAACACAGATATTCATTATTTGCGTCTTCTATAAAATGATGAAAAATTCTACAAGATAATGTACTGGGTTTAACTCTTAAATCATTGTCACAAACACGTTAGAAAAGTCAAATTAAAAGGGTTAAAACAATTAAATTTTAAGCTCTAAGGATAAGAGATGCATTGTTACAATTAAGAGAAATTAGTGAAGATACTAAAACAAGACGTGAAGCTAATTGTTTAGCAACATATAAGATTGAGAATTTTGAGTTCTTATTGGGCATAATTATTTGATATGATATTTTATTTTCCGTTGCCTTAGTAAATATTTACAATTAAAAGACATATATATATTGATGTTGTTATAGATCAATTAAAAGGTCTTTAAAAATAATGAATTTACAAACACTATGTTTTCATATGGGCCACCTCTATTGTTAGGCCATTAAAGCCTGAGCTTGAAGCCTCATTTATCATCTACGCCCCATAATTTTTAATTATAAATAGTAGCCCAAAATAAAATTTTGATTGTATAAAAATTTAAGCCCAAAAAAAAAAATTAAAGCTAGCTTTAAATTTGATAGTTTGGACCTATTTCTCCAGCCATGAACCAAAAAAAAAAAATGATGGTAAAAGTGGATGTAAAGTTATCAACTTAAAAGTTACTTTTATATCGCACTTCTCAATATATTCTAACAACTAGTCACTCTTTATTCTTATCTTTCTCTTCACGGTAAAATAATCTGGAAAGACAAACTCTCTCTTTCTCTCTCCACGGTATAATAATTTGGAGAGAAAAATATAGTCCCTCTCTAGCTAACAAAGTGCGACTCTACCTTTGTTTGTTCTTTTGATCTTGACTTTGTGCCTTTGTTTGGTATTATTCTCTATTGGAATTAACTTTTTAAGCTTGGGTTGTTTTGGTTCAGAGCATAACTACTACAATGATAATCGATTTTTGTGAGAGAATCAGAAATAACAACAAACTAGGTGTTATTATTCTATACTTTGAATTTTTTATTTGAAGCTTTTATTATATTTATTAATATAGATTGTGTGTGATTATTTCATTATTTGTGATTGTTTGATTAATATTTGATAGTATGACATGTAGAAAATAATCGGGTGAATATGAAAAACTAAAAAAAGAGAGAAAAAAAGATAAATTAACGGAATCTCAAAAATAATCCTTTAATAAATTTTTTACTATGACCTACACCTAAAGAGATTGTAATTGAAATGAGAATAAAACTTACATTTCGTAAAAAACATACAATTCGTAAGAAGAAAATATTTATGAAAATGTTGATGACGTAGTAATAAAATCTGTGAAAAAATATTTTAGAATTGATTATTTTAAATACATAGTAGATCAAGTTATTTATCCGTTAAAGAGTAGATTTGAATAATTTTAAATATATTAAAAAATATTTAGTTTTTTATTTAATTTGAAGAAACTAAAATCATTAGGAGATGATAGTTTTAAAAAATATTGTCTTGATCTTGAGTGTTTCTTAAATAATGATAGTTTTTTTTATATTGATGGTTTAGATATATTTTCAGAACTAAACGTTCTAAAGCGTGCGTGCTCACTCCTTTTTAATTTGTATTTTCAAGTAGACAAGGAAGAAGGAATGTCCACTGTTTAGTCTAGGCAGTAAAAGAGGGAATCTGGTTTCCGTGTTTGATTGCGTCATTTTGAATAATTGTTGAGTCGTGTAAATTGTGAAAAATAAATTTCATAATTACGACTTAAAAATACTATTTACATTTACCTGGTATGCAGGAATAATAAGGGAATAAAAGGTATTTTGTCGTATCTTGATAGTTTAAATTAATTGTTTTAAAGGAAAAATGTGTACAGGTCACAAGTATGAGTCAATGAGTGTAGCCCACTCAACCGAATTAGGACATAAACGTTCTATCTCGGGATCGGGACGTGACATTATCCAACCTAAAAATAAATATTAAATTAAACCTAGACCACAGCTCAAAAGAGCCTATGATCGATCACACGTTTTATGTGGTAGTTATTGGTAATTATTAAAATAATAGTATATACTACATATATTTGGTTTTTATTATGTAATTTAGATATTATGTCAATATTATATAATTGTTGACCTAAATATTTACTCCCAGACCCAAAGTACTAAAGCTCTTGTCCCAAACCGAAAGAAAAAGTTAGGGAAATTTGGGTCCGAGTACTAGGGAAATTGGGTGTGAATACTTTTTTTAGGTCTTATTTGGATATAAGTTCACTATTTTAATATGTAAGTATTTAAGTCTAGAAAAAGTATCAAAAATTGTAAGGAAATACTTTTTTCAGTTTTTTTTAGTATGACCTAATTATCCCTATCTTAATTCATGCATAACTAATATGAAAATATTTGAAAAGATTTTTCATAGTGTTATTATGATATAAACAATCGTTTGAATTTTAAAATACTGATATCAATTCATTTAATATTATCATTTTGAACCAAAAGTTTTTCTTCTTCAACATTTCAACTTTTTTCAAATAAAATTTTCGCTTTACATAGAATGCAGTATT